TTTTTTTGTAAATGCATTAATTCCTCTTCAGATTTTTAAAGTCAATACTTCCATCTACAATAATATTGTTGATATTATTATATTGCATATTACCTACAATATATTTTCATCAAGTACTACAAAAATTAGAACTTTTTGACCTCATCCTATATTTTATATTTAAAGTCTTTTCCCAATGTCTATTATTGTAAATTACAATATTTGCAAAGATTTTCATCATTTTTATAAATGACTTATTTGGCAATTTGTTGGTTTAAATGATGAAGCCAAATTCTCATCAAAAATTGTTATTCATAATTATCAAAGTAAAATTGAGATGATGAAGAAATATAGGTAGGATAAAAACAAAATATGCAAGTTAAGAAAATGAAATTAATAATATAAAAAAATATAGTGAAGTGTTAACTAAGTGAAAATTTTTCTTAGATTTTCAAATATCGTCGAAATTTCCACTTAATTTGATTGATTTTGTTTGAACTATTTTCTTTTTTCTGAAAAGCAATAAATATGCTTCAAATATTTTATTTTACAAGTGATGTATTTACAACATCTGGTAAGAGCAGTAAGTAGGTATCGTATCATTTTTAACCTGGAAGTATGAAGGTATGAAATATTAAATATGACTGTAAGCAGATAAAGAATGTTAACTGCAATGTACTGTAAGATGAAGAAATTGCTTGGTAAATTAATAATCATGACTACAAACTAATTCAATCTGTTAATGAGTTTAGAATAATTTCTTGTTGTAGAAAAGAAAAAAAAAATGGTTAAATGTTACATTGTTATGAAATAAGGCCTAAAATTGATGTAATAAGACATTTAGAAAAAAGTTTTAATGAAACAAATATAATTTTCCATTCGAAAATTTTATTTTTAACAAATAAATTTTGAAATTAAATATTTTTCAAAAGTAAGCATTCTTTCGTCATAAAAATTCTGAAAACTAACAGTTCCAAATACTTTTTAGTACGATAAGTGCAATAACGAAAAAAATTGAAACTGTTTATTTTCATTTTTTTTTTTTTTTTCATTTCCGCTACCAAATAGAAAACAGAATATAGCTAATTTTTTTTGTTTTTTGTCTGTTTGTTTTTGTTCTTTTTTAAATTCATATATATCCTATTGCATTCAGTGAACATTTTATGTCTATCAAAAACTGAATAAATTAAGTGAAATTTATGAAATGATATAGTTGAATTGTTGAATGAAAAAGTGAAAATTGGAGCATTGAATAAAACAAACAATGAAAATTACAAAGGAAGAAAGAAAATAAAAAAAAAGTTCGATTTCATTTTAATTTTGTTGAAAATTGCTTGAGTTTTTTTTTTCGAAAATCATATAGAAAGTTTTAAAAAAAAGAAAAAAAACCATCACTAATATATATTATACAATCGGATGACGGAAATATTACACATACGCACATACACACACACACACACACACACACACACACACACACACACACACACACACACACACACACACACACACACACACACACACAC